TAAAACTAATAAATGAGTGTCAATTTTATATATAGCACAGCAATTAACTTAAGATTGTTTGAAGGGACTGTTGACATTGGACTTGTTTTTTAAAAGCTCATTTTCACTCATTGGCAAATCCAGGACCATTACTAATGTTTAACCTTGTTGACTGCTACTGCTTCCCAGTAATCATTGACTCTGGGTTATCACAGTTCTTGAGAGGAAGGACAACCTGCATGCACCTGTGCTTTCTCCCTAACAGGCATCTGAACCACAGACAATACAGAGCAACAAAAGAAAATCTAGGTTTTGTAAGCTATGTATGTAAAATGTAAAGTTGATTGGGGGCCACCGTCAATGCTGCCTCCAGTGTTCATTTCATGTTACGATTTTTCATGAGTAGAGAAAATTACTGAGTACAGCTGAAACCCCAGAGCTCTTTCTCATCATCTAACTTCTGGAATCAGAGATCCTGCTTCATCTTTCTCCTGTTAGAGTAAGAAGGGAATGTATGTTAGGTTTGTGAATTATCAAGGAAGGGGTTTATTCCCGATTGTAGCTTCTTGCCTTTGACATTACACACTCAGCTTTGTCTTCCATAGCATCTCAAAATCCTGCCCCGAATGTCATGTAGGTTGCTGTTTGCAAATGCACATACTAGAAGTTAAATAAGAGTAATTACTGGAACCTCCTAATTGTTCCCCTCAAGGTAAAATGCAAAATTAGATTCATTTTTAGATTACTTGAAGCTTTTGATTACAGTTGGATATCTATTTATAAGACACTTTCTGTTTTAAGACATATCAAATCTCTTTGGAAAATAAAAGGAATATATTAATAGTCAAGCAAATGATCTCTACATTCTGGAAAACATTGGTTAAAATATAAAGACTTCAGAAAGAATGAGAAAGAACCTGACTTTCATGTGGATAGCACTTCCACTTGAAAGATTTTGGTGTGTCCCTGGTTCAGAATTCATTTCTAGGTTACTGGGACCTCTTAAAATTCTTCGGAAGTAGAATTTGAATGTGAATGTGCCATGGTTAGCTGGCACATACTGTCCCCAAGATTTTGGCTTTCTCTGGATTCACAGAGCAGCCCTATTTCTTGGCTGACAATGCTCAATTTCTAGATTGATGCTCATTTAGAACAAAAATGCAGAAGACAGATCTAAAGAAATACTGCCCCAGAACTGTTACAGTACTCAAAGTTATAGTTCAAAGTTGTGTAAAATTTCAATTTATCTAAAAAACAATGTTTGTACTGTGCTTTTGCTCCCTCAGGATGTTATAATGACAAGTAAACCCACCCTTGACTAAAAAATTTATAATATACTTTTATAGCAAATATCCATTTGAATCATCCAAAAACTTTGAATAAAATGTTATAGTTGACCCTTAAACAATGTGGATTTGAACCGTGTGGGTCCACTTCTACACTGATTTTTTCCAATAAATGCCTGTATTGTTTTAAATCTGCAGTATGCATTGTTCTATGTCACTTTATGTAGGGAACTGGCACATCCACAGATTCTGATATTTAGGGGAGTCCTAGAACCAACTCCCTGGGGATGCTGAGGGAAAACTAAGTTTCAAAAATTATGTGCGGATTATCAGCTGTATGGGGTCAGTACCCCAAGCCCCACTCCATGTTGTTCAAAAGTCAACTATATTTTAATTTTGCAGAGTAAAATGGCGTTTAAAGAAATGAAATCTAATGCTACTCTATTAATAAGGTCTGTAAAATCTGGAACTTTTGATACTAAAGCTCATTTTACTTCCACACAAATATGATAATTAAAGTCTAGTAGGAATAGGTAAATTGCTTGGTATTTTTTTACGTTTGTCTGTGATAGCTTTTGCTAGTGATTGTTATAAATTACATAATAAAGTTATACTTTATGCAGCAACAACAGTAAAGTAAATCAAAAGCTGAATTGAGAGCATATACAATGTACAGCCTGCCAATGTACTTAGAGATCATTACTCTTCAATTTTTATTTTGGTAATAAAAAGTTAATATGTTTATTATTTAAAATTTAAAATACAGAAATGTATAAAAAAGAACATAATAATTGCCTTAATTCTGAAATTTGGAGAAGTTAACTATTGTTTTTGCTGCTTATAAGACTATATACTCACATGTATACAATCTATTCATATATAAATTTCGTTCTGTGAAAAGATCGTACTACAGTTAAGAACATTGTGTATACTGTGTATAAATTGTCTACTTTTTCATAGAATATATTATGAACTTCTTTTCATGTCTAAATTATACATAGTAGCATCGTAGAGTGTCATTACATTACTTTCCATGCTAATTTCTGTTTGCACTGTATATTATTTAATCAATTATTATGCACTATTTTAGCAGCCTTGTGATGAATTTGAACATATATCTGGTATAATTACATTATTACTTCAATTGGATAGGAAATTTAATGCCAAAGTGAATTTGCTGTCTAAAATGGAGGTTGTTTTTAAGGCCCTTCAACTTGAAATAGCACATTTTTCATGAATAGCTGTGCAAATTTACATTCCCACCATGATTGAAAGGAATTACAGTTTTCTTCACTTTTCCATCACGGAATATATATTTTAATATATTTATTCTTTGTGAATATTCAGTTCAAGTTCTTTGCCCATTTCTTCATTGAAGTACCTGCTTATTTTTTCACAATAACATGTTAATACAATATTTTAAAAATGTTAGTCCTTTTTCATCTGTCATCTATACTGCAAATAGTTTTCCAACTTTACTATTTGTCTTTTATTTTGTTTACAGTGTTTTCTACCTTACAGATAGTTTGTATTTTATTTTTACATTCACTTTTATAAAGGCCTTTTTCCAGCCTATAAATATAAATATAATAACTTTTATTTTCTACTAACATGTTTTGTTCATTTTTTAATATTGCATTTTCTTTATTGTGAATCGTATGCTGTATGTTTCTCCTACTGATCTTTTAGGTAACTTAATGTTCGCTCTTACATACGTAATTATTGTTATAGTTATTTTTTATTTCTAAATTTTAAAGTGCAAAAGTGATTTGCTTTAAGACTTCAAGTAACACTTAATTGAAAGTCCCTCTTTATCACAATCCTTTTTCTTAGAAGTTTGATGCGTATCTTTCATTGTGCAGTGTATAACACTGGTGTGTTGTATTGCATCTCCTCCTGTTAGAGCGAACACTCATGCCGGTTTCATGTGAGATTCTTGCAGGCAGCTTAGGTCACAACCTGACTGACTTTAATTGTGGCTAAGTTACAGGGGAAAGAACCACAGAGACCCACAGATCACACAGTCCAATGTTGCTCCTTGTGTTCAAGGGTGAGTCAAGCAAACAGAGACAAACAAAAGCCATTTATAATGTATCCCTTCAGGTAGCACTCACCGCAGATATACCTGTGCACTTGTATCATCTTTCTCTCCAGTAATCATCCTTTTAGATTCTGTAACATTTTTGACTCTTGAATGTTGTGTCATATGTGAGATTTTTCTGAGACAAATAGTTCATAAACTTTTAATTGGAAAACTGTGAGAGTTTTTTGTCACTTTCATTTTAGCTAAGATCTCTCCATCCCCACCCTCCATCTATTCAAAAGAATTATATTTTGTATAGCTGTGTGGCATATCAAAAATCACTCTATATATTCCAGAAGGCAATGGATTAAAACTATATTTTCATAACAAGACCTAAAGAGATTAAGTGATCAGCTCAATTCACACAATAAATGAAGAAAGGGGAAACCCCAAAATTTATAGCCATTTTTATTATCTAGTAGAAAGGAACACATCTACTGCCTAGGAAGTTTTGTAATAACATAAGAAAACTACATTAAATTATGTCTCTCAAAATGTAGTACAAAAATCATCTATTTCAGAATATCTTGATTATTAAAAGTGGTGGTGAAAGACTTTCTATTAATTAGCGTTTCAATTTGCAAAGCAAATATATTGACTTTGTACTTCAAAAATTGGTGAAAGACTCTATTAAATAGCATTTCAATTTGTAAAGCAAATATATTGACTTTGTACTTCAAAAAAAACATTAAAACGAAGTTTCTTGCTTTCCATTCAAGAAACCTGATGGGGGGATGTAAGGGGCAGTTACCTGCGTTATTAACAGCTCTCTGGTCTCTAGGGAGCAAGTATTTACTTATATATTTAGCCTTTGAAACTGGGATAATCATGACAACATAAAACAACACTTGGGGTTGTATTTCACATTTCAGATAAAGTTAAACAATGGGCCACATTTTTCCATAATTACAACATATAATTTAGAAAAAAAATATATTTTTCTTAAGTATGATAACTACTTGAATATAATTTGGAATGTTTTACTTAATTGGATGCACTAATATAGACAATTAACTATTTGTAAGCAGAATTAATGCTCTGTGATCTATTCCATGTCTTTTTTATACCAGAATAAATCTTTATGATCAAATTTTTTGGAAATACTGGAGGTTCTGCAATATATAAACCTTGCTGTGATGCTATTTAAATCCCTTTCTTCATGTGATTATCGATTCTTAAATAGCTTCAGTAAAACGACCTTATTTTAAGCATCCTGCTTAATTATATTTTGTCAATGTTGATAACTAAAAATGAAACAAAGCATGAGAGTGGATTTCACTTTAATTTTATTTATTTTGTAGGATAATACAAGCTTGAATAAATTTTTGAACTTAGAAATTCACCATTTATATAAAATAATTATAAATAAAATAAGCTACTTCAAAATTATTTTTAATATTATATCCCACAAAATTCTTATCTTGAAAACTAAATATTACATTTTAATGGTGGGATTCAATTTCATTTTGATTGTGATATTCAAATTAAAATAAGAATACTTTACCATGAAAAATTAAATAATTCAGGGATAATTAATAATATTTTTAATAGGGATCCAGCATATATAACATTAGACCTAAAAGTTTTTCAATGCATCTGTTTCCAGATCCCTCAATCTGATAAGTAATTGATCTTGCATGTTTCTTTGACAGGCTTATGCAGGAAAAGATCTGGAGGACCAGTTGCGGTCGGTGTCTAGTGTAGATGAACTCATGACTGTACTCTACCCAGAATACTGGAAAATGTACAAGTGTCAGTTACGGAAAGGAGGCTGGCAACAAAATAAAGAACAACCCAATGTCAAAACAAGAACAGAAGACACTATAAAATTTGCTGCAGCACATTATAATGCAGAGATCTTAAAAAGTAAGTATGGGGAAGAAAATATATAATAAGCTTCATATATCAACACAGTGAAAGTTACCACCTGGTTCTTTAATTTCAGCATTTGTACCACCAAATAGCTTTAAGGGCCGGAAGTAAAGAAAATGTCATTTTCAAAATATAGCATTTTGTGATTTCACTGAGTAGTTAAGATAATTTCTCGAAATATAAAGAGAGAAAGATACATGCATATCGACACTTTAATTTTTTTGAGGTGCTATCCCATCGAAAAATTTTAAAATATATAGACATATTTTACACATTGTCAGTTTAATCATGTAAACATTCCATATCTTACAAAATAACTGCACATAAATTTTCTTTCTGATGTAGATTTAGAAATGCTTAATTTCTAAACCATGCCAGATCATCTTTTCAAATACTACTTGTTGCCTTGTTGCTTCATAGGTAACTGGCTTAAGAGCTAGATTTTGATAAAGCCCTGAGAGACCTGGCATAAAGTGTCACAAAAAAATTATGATGTTGCATAAAATGCCCACCATAGTATAAGTTGGTGGGTTACTTTTAAAAAGTAATTCCCTTCAGTTATTAGATATTAATTTTTATGAAGGTTTGAGATTGCAAAGTATTTTGAGAACAAAACCAACCAAACAAAATGGCTTCGTGGTTGAATAACCAATAGTTTATGTCCTTTTCTCCAATATTCTTATTTTAGGGGAAATGTGAGATATATAAACTAGAACATTTAGGAAGTACATCATTTGTAATGCAGTATTCAAAGAATCAGCAGTGCTCTAAGTAAACCAATTAGAATTCCAAGAGAACATGAAAGAAACAGGAAATTTTGACTTTCCTGAAAAAACTTAGTTTAAGATAGGTGTCCCAGTTGATGGAAAATATCCTTGCATTTCAAGTAGCTACCACCATGACTTTACCCAAAATTGCCAAATAGCCTGCCTGAAAGTGATTTTGAATTGAGTCCAAAACCATAGTCATGTTCTCATTTACATCTAAGTTTTAAAAGAAAAATTAAATCATGTTGTTTATATTTGCTTTGAGACCACAAAAAGAGTACTTACTATAGCAAATGAGCATTACTCATCTCCGCAGGTCTTATAAACATCTATATATAAATTTTCATTTTCTTGAGTAAAGAAAACCAAACATAAGTGCTGCAGAATATTGGCATAATATTCTGCATAGTCCTAATTCAAATTGTTTCATGGTTGTAGAAATTAGATTTTTTAGAAAATATCCTTAGCTACTCTGTTAAATATTATATGGCATTCCAATTCCCAGGGCAATTTAGGATCCTGTCAATTATTTTTTTAAAGTTATGCATAACACTTTAATCTTAAAATCTAAAATCAAATGTGAGCAACTTCCAACTGCTGTGGGCTGTTTCCCTCTTCGTGGCTTCTGTGTAACTTCTGGCCTTCCCTATGACTCGACAGGTATTGATAATGAGTGGAGAAAGACTCAATGCATGCCACGTGAGGTGTGTATAGATGTGGGGAAGGAGTTTGGAGCAGCTACAAACACCTTCTTTAAACCTCCATGTGTGTCCGTCTACAGATGTGGGGGCTGCTGCAACAGTGAGGGGCTACAGTGCATGAACACCAGCACAGGCTACCTCAGCAAAACGGTAGGTGTTTCAGCTTCCCCAGGAGGCCTCTCAAACAGAGCCCTTGACTCTGGAAGTGATATGCTTAAACTCTGGTCCCTTTAAAGTAACAGTTCAATTCGGAGTTTCTTGTATTTTCTTTGGGAAATTAAGTTTTTAATTTTGTGGTTTTGATGACATGACAAAGGAAGTAAATGATGGTTTATGAACTCTTTTCATACATGGTATCAAAGCCAAGTGAAGGAAATAGTAAATATACATATGAATGTGTGTATGCACATCCATGCACATACACGCACATACATTTACATACACATATGTTGATCTTTGAGGATAAACATTTTCATTTGTCAATAAATTACTTTTAAATGATTAAGACTTCTAATTATAGAGACACAGTACACATTACATATTCAATATATATAATTACAAGTATGTGATCTATGAAACAGTGGTATAGTATTGACATAAGCCATCACATTGAGCATATTTATTGTGTTCATTTAGAAAGCAAAGGATATATTCTGACACTAACTCTTGGGTATTTTGAACAAACTGTAAAGCTCCTAATAAATAACCAAGAAACTTCCCTTATGGTTCAGTTTGGAAGCAGGATTTTCACAGCAGACGTACAGACCTGCAGTCCTTTGGTGGAAGAGGAGGCTGGCTGTCAGAGGCCACGTCTAGGTGCTGATGACCACCATGGAATGTTGTTTAAAATGATGTATGACATTGGCCTCTGCATGTATTTGGAGAAGCCCAGCCCGCAGCTCTGAGCTTGCGGATGCAAACTCCTTCCTGAAAGACAAAACTGTGGTTGCTTGAAAGGCTTTTCCAATCTATTTTCAGAATTGGAATAGCATAAGTAATCTGGCTCCATTCGGAACTGGCATTTGACCTTTAGAATGAAAACTGAAAATATTTCAAAAATGTGTTATTAGATTTAACAAATAAGAGAACAGTCTCTTCTCTTTTCTTCCATTTGTAGTTTATAGGAGCAAAAGTCAACATTGTATTCCTCTTACTATCAGTTTACTAAATATATGTTTTATGTGCCAAATAGACAACAAGAGTGCCTTAGGTAGACTCTACACTTGGAAAACAGAACATTAGTACATTGTCAGAAACAAAACAAATAAACTTTGCCTCTGGTAACCACAAATGGTTTTTCTGTGACCACTGCATATTTATTCCCTACATTTGTCTAATTAGGTCCCATATTCGCCTAATTGGTTTTGGGGTGAAATTATTCAGAGACAAGTGTGTATACACACAGTATACAAACTGCTTTGTCAGGTTGAAGGCCACAGAGGAGTTTAGGCTTTCAAAGTTATAAAGTGTCAGGGCTGAAAAGCATTTAGTGCTAAGTTTCACGTACATGTAGCTGAAACAGAATTTGGTCCAGCATCTTCAGTACTTAAACATCAAATATGTTATTTTTTTCTATAAGAAAATTGCCTCCTTTATATCACATGGAATCAGTTCTCACTATATTTCATCTTCTTTTACCTCCAGGCTTCATAGAATTTGGGATTACTCTTATAATTTATCAGGTTAATGTTACCCGCTTCCTCTCAATCATCTACTCATGTGAAAAATCAAAATTTACCTGTAAAATGTTCAAAGTCTATCTTTTGTTGTTGGTTTATGTTGTCCAGTTTTGTGTTGATCTTTTATTTCAAATAATTTTTGCATTGTGTTCTTAAATGTATATATCATTATAACAGCTGAGTAGTTTTCATTTTAGCATTGCAGTTTTTTTAAAGATTTGCAGATATTTGGAATTAAAATTTTGATGTTAATTGAAAACAAGGTACTTAGTTTTCAGGGTTCTGTCCCAAGACACCTTCTTCTCTGACTCTATGTACTCCAGGTTTCCCCACCTACTCTTCTGCTCTTCATGGTGATTTATTCCTAAATCTTTATCCCCGGCTCAGACTTCTCTTGTGGTTTCCCTACTACCTACTCAACCTGTAACTTGGCTTTCTCTCAGACATCATAGTTGATCAATGTCAGACTGGAGTTATGACCATTTTTTCCCCCATCCCCACTCCACCCTCACAAATAAACAAGCAAGTAAAAAAATCTTCTTTTTCCAGTATTCTGTCTCAATAAATGACACCATTCATTTAGTCGATCGATCCAAGTTATTCTTCCTTTCACTAAAAGCCTAATCAATAATTCCAGTTAAATCTACCTTCTAACATCTCTGGAATCCATCCTTAGTCTTCATCCTGCTGATCCCACTCTGGTCTAGGCCATTCATTACTCACCGGGACCGGCCTAATAACTGGTCTCAAACCTCCATTCTTATTTCCCT